TACCATCCACATGTTTGATGCTATGCAATTATCAAAGTACTGTTTTAAACCAGCGCTGTTTCTTAACTGCTGCCAGTCTGACCGTAATAGAATCGCCCATCTTCGATCATTTGTGTCCCTTTTTTGCTTTACGCTTTTCCGGGGCTGCTGGTAAACACGATCGCCGACTCAGACCGGTGGAAGTTTTTCTGCTTCATCGGAGGATGGAAGCAAATCTCGGAACTATTTCATCCGTAAGATGTGCGATAGAATTAAATGTAGTTTTTGGCGAGCCCACGCGGCTTCATATGGTCGCTGAGAGAGGAGACAAAATCTCAACCAGATTCACAGACTGTTTCCTGGGGCCGAGTTAGCCCAAAGAGCTGAGGATACGCTGCAGCCAAACTCGGCGATCAAGCCGAACGGTTTCGTATTCGGCAAGAGCCCGAAGACCGTCATTCTCTGGTCGAGTCCAGTCTCGAGTTGCCGACGCTGAGTGGTAGGGCCAGACATGCAAGAGACGTAAAAACGACGAAAGTAGCCAAATTGAGGGTGCTCGACCAGAATGCTCTGCTCTAATAGTCTGTTGTACAGACGCACAAATCGGCTTTTTCCAATGGGCATGCTGGATTTGGTACAGCAGCAGACCTGTCGGCACGCCAGGACTACAAACGAGAGGAAAGTGGGTTGAAAAGAGGCCCAAATGGATGTCGGGTCCGGTTATCTGGTCATATCTGCTCCTATTGATAATGCTGATGGTGAGCCAGACCTTGTTTTGTTCTGCTGGAACTTGGCGTATTCCATGAAATCGCTGCTTCACAGCGATTCTTCAATGAGACACTGGCAAGTGACCGATTTCTCTCTAGAATCCCAAAACTGGCACGAAATTTTGGTAACGGTACTAGCAGACTGGCATGATGATTAGAAGAGAAGCACTAAGTCCTTCCGGGCGGAGGATGACGGTCAAGGATAGGGGGACTCGAGAGGTAAACTCGAAAATGAACATTGAAAAAGGACAATTTTGAGAGGTAAACTTACAGAAAATGTGCAGGATCGACTGACCGAGGGGAATGAAGTCTCTGGTCTCGGAGCGTTCCGACCACCTTAACAGGACTTGTGCCAGTGCAGAGATTACTGTGGGTTTATGGGAAAAAGAAGCAAATTTAAGCCCAAATCTACCGTTGAAATTCGCCCAAAATGAACACCAACCAGAAACATAATGATTCGATATATGCGAGACTCGGACCGATGATACAATATTGCTCTAGTAGCCTCTTTAAAGGTAATCTTCAAACTGGAAGAACCTTCTCTCACAGTA